CGCGACGCACTCCGAGAGTTTCAGAGTTTCTCGCGAGAGCTGAGGCTCGTCTTTGCGGAAGTGACAGTACGGAAGAAGCGTGGCTGCTTCTTTATCCCGACGGGTGCTGCGTGCTGAGCGGTTGACACCATGCAGTCAGATGATGTGAGTCCCCTCCCGTTGCTCTGACATCCCGGCATGTGCGCAGGGAGTTTCGCCTAGTTTAGGACTTATTCAGAAGCCATATACATACTCAGCCGGCCTATTTATTTGCCTCGTGCAGTTCCAGACGCGAGACGTCCAGAATCGGATTCTGTAAAATGGGTCACACGCGAGTGCAGCCCGGCTCGCTGCCCGAAAGGGTTAAAAGACCAGGACGCTGCCACCGCATCCCAAGGGCTGACTTGCCCAGTCGTCGTTGCCTACTGATAATAGACTTTGTGCCGTGCCGTTGGTTTGGGGATTTGCGAAGGCGGAAAGGCGTCCTGTGTGTGCTGCGTATTTAGGGATCCCTTCGCATCCACGCACGTGTAACTTTTGTCTGCTTTTCCTGTTAGTATTTCTTTGCGTTTGCTCTACTGTCTGCCGAAGTCTTAAACAGCTTCATTCATTGAGCTGTTTGTTAGATTAACAGTTCTTACAATGTACCAACTATTGTAATTACCAGGCATTTGGCTGTTATGCAGCCAAAAAAACAGCTCTCCAGGAACATGCTTGTGAGGGAGACATACAAACCTAAAAGATGAGAATGAGCCAGACGGCAAGGGGCGAGTTAAAAGTACTCCCGGAGGTAGGAACAGTAGAGGCACCAAGGTCTGACGATAGGAGGGAAAGAATATAAAGACACCAATATGCCTTCCACGAGGGAATCCAGGGGATGAGAAATAATGAGTTGTACCTATGCTGCCATGGCAAGATGATTTGTCTTCTAGGAACTGTCTGTTGGACTTTTAATGGGAGGCGACACCCGGAACGCCTTTGTGGAAGTTCTCTTTTGCCTATGTGAAGGGTGGTGAAAGGAGAAAAAAGCATAAAAACAAAAGAGGAGAGGATAGTAATGGTGGAGATGAAAGGAAACGGATGAACTTTAGATGTGTTTTATCTGGTAGTGATTAAGTGAAAAAAATAAATAAGGAGATTGGGGATTTAAACAAACAGTTCAGTGGTTTTATTTACTGAAATGGAGTGCCACATTTATTCTTCAGAGAGCTCCATTATAATATCTTTTAGATATCCGGGTTGAAATGTCAAGTAGGTGGGTAGAGGCATAGAAAAATCTGACGCTTAGGAAAGACTGAACAGATGATGATTTTGGAGTCATCACTCTAGAAATGATATGTAGAACCACCAGCCTGAGCACCCTACGTTTCCAGCTTCACTTCCTCTTACATATTCCTACCGTCCCCCAGTAGACATCTCTTCAAAACCCCTTCACCCTTCTTTGCATGGTTTTTCCTTTAACTGTTGGAAAACTTTTTCTCAGTTGCTCAAAGGCTGTTGCACTCCCCGACTTCTACATGGCCTTTTGCTACTTTGTGATACATTGTTTATATACTTCCCTCCTGAACTAAATTGGTAAAACTGACCTACTGTAGTCTTCCAAAAAATACGTGTTTACCGTGTGTCAAGACTTGGAGATGTCAGTGCTTTACCTGAATTAAGTATATAAAGTGCTGAATGGATAAAGAGCGTGTTTGCTGGTGAAGGGTAGCAATAATCTGCCTTGCCTTCAGTGAGATTAAGTGCTATGTGTGTTAAAATGTAGTCCCATGCATCCTTTAAGTGACCGTTGAACACATGCATAAAGAAAGTTACAAAGTAAATGTAATGTGCTCTCACTTTTGTTAAAAACATACACAGGCATATTACAGTTGGATGTACATATACATAGAAAAATTCTGGAAAATGCAGAATACTAATGAAATTTTGTCTGAGTAGAGAGTATGATTATTTCTAATTTGCATTTAATTTTTTTTTTTTACAAGAATCTGTTCATGACAAGGAGTCAGGCTTTCTTTCAAAGCATTTCTTCCTCTCATTCCTTCAAGATTCCTGTCCTTAGTAAAGTAGGCACTGTCCTAAAGCATTGTCTTTTTTACTTCATACAGCGTCTGTCGGGCCAGGGTGCCAGGGCAACTGAAATGGATTTTTACTTTATCTCACAGGTTATCTGGGATACATTAGGAAACAAACAGTTTTGTTCCTTCAAAATAAGGTGAGTCTAGATTGGCAACTTGGACTAAAATTCTTTTAGTTTGCTCTCTTGTGAACCATTTTATAATGTTGTTTCTTTCCTCCATCCCATCCTAGAACAAAGACTCAAGGCTTTTGCAGAAACGAATATAGCCTGACTGGACTGTGTAATCGGTCGTCTTGTCCACTGGCTAATAGTCAGTATGCCACCATCAAAGAGGAGAAAGGTAACTGCCTGATTTTAAGTTTCATGAGAACTACAAACATCCTTTAAAGAGATGTTCTTTAATCTCTCTAAATAATATTAAGGATATTCTACTTTATGCTTTAGGGCAGTGCTACTTGTACATGAAGGTCATAGAACGAGCGGCTTTTCCTAGGCGTCTCTGGGAACGGGTAAGATAGCCACAAAACTGTGGTGACCACTGATCAAGACCAAAAGTGCTGTGTTTTTCCCTCTTCCTTCCTATCTCTAGATGAACCTTGTGAAGCACCCTCATTTAACCCCTGTACGTGTTGACAGTGACAGCCTAATCAGTCATTTGTCCTTACCCCACAGACTTCTATTTTTGTCTGGTAGGTCCGGCTTAGTAAAAATTATGAAAAAGCACTGGAGCAAATTGATGAAAATCTGATTTACTGGCCTCGCTTCATTCGACACAAATGTAAGCAGAGATTCACCAAGATAACCCAGTACCTAATTCGAATTAGAAAACTTACACTAAAGCGACAGTAAGTATTTGGGACATTCATTTTATTTTTAAATCTATCCACAGAGTATGTCTTAAAGCTGAGATTGTAAATCCTCTAATAAATGGTTTCTGTTAGATTCGACATTATGTAATCTTTTGTGGAAGGCTAAGATGAAGAAACTTCAAAAGTGTGTTCTTTGATTTTTGTCTGACTTTTAAAACAGTAGAGTACACCTTGATTATTCCCCTCCACGCCCAAAAATCTGCTTCAGAAAAGTTTATTTCTGAGGCAATCTTAACATTAGAGATTTGAAAATAATCCAAAAAATGGGAATAAACAGGAATGTAAGAACTTTACCCTGGAGTCACTGAAAGCTAGGTGGTAAGAAATTCACAGAGTAAATAGAATACCTCTGCAGGAATAGTAGAACCTGATTTTCTTTCATTATGACATGCAGAGAAAATGTTAAAAGATATCAGTCTTTGTAGTTCACTGAAGCATTAATCTTAGTACATAGTGAATATCCATACAATTTTCAGAATGTGTAAAATAACCAAAACCATCTTTCTGGGCAGAATTCATCTCCTGAGAACTTTTATGCAGCCCCATACTTACACAGTATGCAGGGAGAGATGCGGTGCCTCCCATATTCCTGGCATGGTACTAATGGCTAGCTCAGATCACTGCACAAGGTCAGGGCCCATCTAGCCCATGTGACATGTTTGGGAGGCATCTTTTAAGCCTTGTGTTTTGTTAGGTTTGAATGATATATTTTAATATCACGTTCTAGTTTTTCATTGTTGGTTTATAGGAAGGTAATAAGCTTTGGGTATTAATTTTATATCCTGCAACTTCGTTGTAATTATTAATTCCAGCAGGAATATTTTTTCATCTCTGAGATTTTTCTACAACCATGTCATGTGTGAATGAAAACTATTTTATTCACAATTTCTATACTTTTTGTCATCTTAACTGCTTTAGCTAGGACATCAGTATGATGTTGAAAAGAAACAATGAGAGTAGAGATTCATGTGCTTTTTCTTGTGTTAGTGAGAGCATCTAGTTTCTTACCATTAAGTTTGGTATTAGCTGGAGATTTTTAGAGAGATTTTAAAAATCAAATTAAGGAAGTTCCCTTTTATATTCACACTTTTTAAAAACACATAGTCACAATGACTTTTCTATTTTCCTGATCTTTCACTCAACAGTTAACAAATCTTTATTGTGCAGTTGCCACTCAAGGAAGTTATTAGATTTTAAGATAAAACATAAGTGTACATTTCAATACATTGAATTAGGCAATGGTCCTCAAGCTATTATATAAAAAGCATGAACAACTAAGATGAAAATAGTTCAAAAAATAAAAAATAGTTCAACCTCATCTAAAAAAATAAATAAATAAAAAATAACCAAAACCACTTACATGAAAATACATGTTAAACTGTGTGACTTTTGGTAGCATTACATTTCTAGAACTCGTAAGTAATATATCTTGTTGTATTGACCTGAGCCCATAGAAGCATTTCCTGTCCTTTTCCGTATCTTTTTAGAGGAGCTCATAGCACATGTACCGACATTTTCTGATAATGTGATTTATTTCTTCTAGGAGGAAACTTGTTCCCTTGAGTAAGAAGGTGGAACGCAGGGAGAAAAGAAGAGAGGTAATTCACTGTTCTGATAATCACAGCTTCTGTGTTTTCCTTGAGAGGACGGTGGAAGCAGGATGAAGGAGAAAGATTTAGTCACCGTCTTCCATCAGTATGATTTCTAGATAATGATTCACTAATGGATAATGGTGTTAGTGCTTATGACATCTGATTTTTCCTATCTTATGACTTTCACTGCAGGTTAAAATAGGATTGCTTTGGGGATATATGTACTGAAGAATAGAGAGCCACAACTTGTCTGAAATTCTTGATGTCTGTTCTGTGTGTCAGAATTCAAAATCTTAATGTTGCCAGTCTTATACATTACATAACCTTCAGCAGAGTTTGAGCATTGTAACCAAACACACTAATATTTCTACACTGAAATTTAACAATGTTCTCATTAGATGGGTTTTTCCTCAGTGTCTTTTTTTTTTGTTTTGTTCCCAGTACCAGGGATCAAACTCAGGACCTTGCACTTGGTAGGCAGACACAACACCAATGAGCTACATCCCCAGCCCTTCAGTGTCTCTTCGGTAGCATTGTCAGTCATGTTTCTTCACTCTGAAACACAATACCCAACACCCACAAGTAAAGGAAGAGACATTTATTTTCACTCATGGCCGGTAAGAGTGTTCAGTCCGTACTCAGCAGGCGCTAATGAGCTGCTCATGGCATGGCATCTAGGAAGCAGAGTTCACGAGGCGCTGGGAGGGAGAAAAGCTCTTCCGGGCCACACCCAATAAGCCATCTCTTCAGAACAGGTCCCACTTCCTGACAGCAAGCCAGCTGTAACCCCTTACAGTTTGCGCACCTTCTGAGGTCCCTGTGCTCACAGGGAGGTTAGGGAGACATCTGGATATAAACCATAACAAGCCTCCCATCTGGTCTGGCCATGTTTGGTTGCTAAATTGCACGTTTGGATCTTGAATTGGCTGGTAAATAATTGGAAACTGATGTGAGATTACATGCTTTTTGAAGTGAACCGGGCCGTTTTGCTACTGAAGGAATTCTGGGGAACCCAAGACCTGGCACATGCCAGGCAAGGGCCTGTCATACCACATCCCAAGCCCCACTTTTAAAATGTCCACAGAATGCATTTTAAAAATTAATTTGTTCCTCCAACACACTATTGAAATGTTGCTTTTAAGTGTATTTAAGTGCTAAATATACCATTAGATAGCCAGCATATCTTTAGTTACTCTCCAATTTATAAATCCACTTTATTTGCCCCAATATTTACATGCTGCAGCAATTTGAATAAAGGAGTGAAGCGACCACTTTCAGTATGTTCACTATTTGCTTTATGGATATAGTCAAGGCATCGGTGTTAGTATACATGAGAAATATTAGTAACACATTTTTAAAGGGAAAAAATATATAAATGTCTTGAATATATATTCTTATACCTCTGGTTCATCCTTGAGGTGTAATCACACTTTAGACAACAGAGTGGAACATCACTGTATCCTTTGTGTGTGTGTGGTGGTGGTAAGGGCCTGGGATTAAACCCAGGGCCTCCTGCATGCTTGTAAGCATTATGCTATTGAGCTACATCCCTGGGTCCCTGTTAAAATGTGTTGGTTTGATTTTTGAGACAGGGTCCACTTTGTAGTTCAGGCTGACCCTGAACTCATTATGTAGCTCAGGCTGGCCTCAAACTCTCGGCAATCCTCCTGCCTCTTGCCTCCTCAGTGCTGAGATTACAGGCATGAGCCACCATGTTAAAAGTTTCGAGACAAGTCTTCCTAAGTTGCCCAGGCGGGTTTCAAACTGGAGGTCTTCCTGAACAGCTGGGATGACAGGTGTGCACCGCCATGCCTAGATCCAGTATAGCCTTTTAACCGAGCCCGAGTCCCCTCATCTCCCAGCCTTGTGGTACATCCGGAACACTGCTTCTCATTCTAACACAGCTTCTATGTGTAATGATATAAAGTGGCCTTAAGACTTGGACTATGAAATTAATGCAAAATCTTAATCTACAGAGGTAAATTTAATTATTTTGGGGTGGGGGTTGTGAGTGGTATAGGCTTGATATCTGCCCGAAGAGATGATTGACAAAAGAGATTTTTTTTATCTTTTTTTCCTATTACATAAAATCTAACAGGGACTTGGAAAATATGCTCTACATTGTTGAAGGTCTCTGTTCATTTTCCTCAGTTTTTACAAAGTTTGGCTTTAGGGTTGGTAGTTTTCTGAGATTCTTAAATGTATGCAGACATGTATGTTTGGTGTATTAAGGGCTTCACTGTAAAACAGAATTGGGACCAAGGGTTTAGCTCAGTGGTGCCGTTGCCTGCCTTGTAAGCAAAAGGTCCCGAGTTCAATCCCCAATCCAAACAAAATTTTTTTTATTTGCTCTTTTTATTGTATTTATTTATATTTAATTACTTTATTTACATTTTTTAAAACACTATTTATAAAATAGAATCTTTCCATTGAAAGGTTCCCAAGAGGATTTGAGAGGGAAATTATGTGGTTGCAGTGGCAAAAACCCCAGTAATAGTATGTAGTGGGACATGATTACATCGTGTTTTTTATTAAAAACTTAGTTTCTCTTACCTCCATGGACTGAGAAATAAGCACCAGTGAAGTACATGGGTTTGTTCTTTTCTTTAACAGGAAAAGGCATTAATAGCTGCTCAGCTGGACAATGCCATTGAGAAGGAGCTGCTGGAGAGACTGAAACAAGACACGGTGAGGAAGCCAGTGGCTGTGGGGTGTGAGCAGTTTTTCAGGGGTAGTAAGCTAGGAAATATTGGGGAATGTGTTCTATTTTTAAAGATGCTAGAAAGGTCACTCTGATTTTATCCTTGAAGTAAAAGAAATTCACATAGGCCTGGCTTTCTCATTTTCGTCAGTGGGAGCACATGAAATGCTTTCATTATCCTTTACTCAGTTTACAGGACACCTTGCCTTGCCCTTATTTCCATTTCTCATTCCAGATTCAGCAGTGCCTGGCCTGTGTGTAAGAACCTTAGGGTCCCTCCCACGTATTACACAATTTTTTTCAGGTTCTTTGAAATAAGTTTTAAAATCTTTTAAAACATCAATGTCATTTACAGATAACATGATTAAAAATAAGTTATTATTTCCTCTTTTCAACAAAACTCCATTTGTCCTGATGCGTGGGGTTCATATACTAAACTTTTAATGACTTGGTTCTGTCTCTCACATAGGCTGTCTATTCTATGTTAACCACTGGTTATGTAAATACCAAAAATGGCCAGCACTAGGCTTGCAAATACTATAGAAATGCTGCTCGTCAAATTAAGTATTCTCATTTAGTCAGCGAGGAGAAAATAATATGGTTGTAGAACAGTGGAAACTGAAGTGTAATCGCGCACACAGTCAAAGCTCTTCTGTTCCTTCTCAGTATGGTGACATCTACAACTTCCCCATTCACGCCTTCGACAAGGCTCTGGAACAACAGGAAGCACAGAGTGACTCTTCAGATGCCGAGGAGGAGGAAGAGGGCGAGGAGGAGGAGGAAGTAAGTTTGTCTGTTTTGGTATGCAATGACTTAGAGACAGAAATCATCTTTAGTCCTCCAGCCAGAATAATTTTCCCACCTTTCTAAACATTAGGAAATTAATTTGGGTTTAGCAGTAGCTTCTTTGTTCTGCAGGCTCAGTCAACAAACTGTTTATAAGTTAACATTTTTAGCCCTACTTTATAGATGCTTTACCTCTTATGTTTGACATCAGGCATGAGAGTTGCCTGTGTCCCTAAAAGTATTTTAAATTCAGAATTAAACTTGAGAATGACTAAATTTTCATTGCCTAATATCTAATATGTAGGTTTTGATTCTGATTACATTACTCACTTAATTATCAAAGAATCGTGCTACAGTCTCAAATGGATCTTCGTTATATAGTTTGTTTGTTTGTTTGTTTTGGTACCGGGCATCCAAGATACTCAGAACCTTGCAAGTGGATCCACTGAGCTAAATCCCCAGCCCTTCATTATGTATTTTAAACCTACTAACTGGTTTATTTTAGGATGTGGGAAAAAGAGAATTTGTGGAAGATGATGAAGCAGATGAAAGTGACCTAAGTGATTTTGAGGTGAGCTCCGGTTTAAAAAGAAAAAAATCTCTTTGGTCTATAGCAAAATAAACTAGAGGGTTTCTAATTACTGAAGAGTTTGGAAAAATCCAGTATTTTTTTTCCTAATTGACCTTTTCGCTGTGTATTAGGATATGGATAAACTGGAGGCCACTGATGATGAAGATCAGGATGAGAAATCATCCAGTGAAGAGGAAGAACAGGCTCTTACTGCAAAGCACAAAGGAAAAACACCCTTGAAAGGAGTTTTGCGCCGAAAACGGGCCTACGTAGAGATAGAGTATGAGCAGGAGACAGAGTCCACAGCCAAGGTCAAAACGACGTGATTGCTTTCTGCGTGTAATCAGGACTGAGTGTGCTCAAGGTTTCTTTCCTTTTATCTTATAAACAACACCTCCCATTTTTTGCTCTTTTGTATATTTCACACAGTATTTGTGTTGTTAATATTTATGCTACTTCACTGGGGCAACAAATGTGGCATGAATGGAGGAAACTCAAGTGGAGGGTATTTTTATAGCCTGTGTGTTGAATTGACAGCTTGAACCCAAGAAGCTTCACAGATGAGTTCCTGAAGCTGGAATGAAATTGTGAGTGTAAATATTTCTAAATTTTAAGCACTGAATTCCTTGGTGTCCTTTTCTTTTTCCTCCTACCCTTTATTTAGAAATGGCAGGATTTCACTTTTTTCTTGTTTACCTTTTCCTATTCCTATTAGGCTGAAAGGAACAAGAGAAGGAAAAAAGAAATGCCAACTTAAAATGTTTAATATCAAAATACCTTTCTCCATCACTCCATTTGTACAGTATGGGACAGAAAGAAGAAACTTTCCTTGGGAAATAATCTCAAACTCCATGGTAGTGTGCACCTTCAGAGTCCTGCTGCACTCGCCTGATGCAGCTCACCACTGTGCTATCTGTACAGCTCAGGACAGTTCTGGCCAGGAGATCCTGAAACATGGAACCAAACAGGCACAAACTTTTTACAGAATTGTGTTTCTCCCTTTTACCTTTATTCTCTGTCTTAGTATTCGAAGGATTAAAAGGATGACACTAGAGGAGAGCTTACAGTCAGAACACATCAGAAATCACACCTAGGGACCAGGGATGTAGCTCAGCTGCACTGCACCTGCTTGGCAAGCATGAGGTCCTGAGTTCGATCCCCAGTACCCCTCCCCAAAAAAGCCATACTATCCCTAAGTATTTTTAAGATATAAATTTCTTTTCATACATTCAATCTGTCAGTTAAAAATCCCTACATAGAGTAAGAAATGAGACAACTAGTTCATTACATTCATATATATGTACACATGGCTCTAATAAGGTATGGTCCAGAGAAGTTGACTTTTGTGGAACCAGTGGAGGAATTCCCTTGTGGACAAATAGGAAATGGAAAAACATCTACCTAAGAGATGGTTCCTTCCTCAAAAATGTTTCCATTTCAGGTATCTGAATTACTCTTAAATCACTACTATTACTCTGTGGTGACTTAAAGCCCATTCCCTTTTTCTTTTTTTTAATTCACAACTTAAATGTTACAAAATCTGACCCTAACGCTTTTGCTTGTTTTCTCTTGTTCTGAGTTTTGAGTAACTAAAGAAAGAGTAAGTGGGTCAGAGGATCAGTCTTAAGTACGACCTTAGCATGTGCAACGCCCTGGGTTTGATCTTGTACACCAAAAAAAAAAGGTAATGATCAAAACTATTGAAGACTAGACAGCACAGAGATTGGGACCTAAAATCCTCCATGTTCATTTCCAGACTTGTGCAGGAAAATGAACAGTAAATTCTAATCAGTCATAGGAATTACCTGAGTATAAGGAGGCCCAAGTGAAACCAGCTGTGGACTGCCTTACATTTTTCCTTGGTTTTTCTTCTGGTACAGGGGATCAAACTCAGGACCTTGTGCTTGCAAGGCAGGCAGCGTCACCACTGAGCTAAATCACTGGCCCATGCCTTACCTTTACCTGTCCTTGAGAGCAGTGGTCCAGGAGGATCAGGCAGTCTGTAGCCTCCTGTAGCAGAGCATTCTTAACAGGCTCAGGTGTAAGGCTCGGGTCCCTTGCCACATCACACATCAGCTTCAGGAGAGCCTTCAGTAAGACCACACGTCTGCAGGAAATTCTGGAATCGGGAAGAAAATTATTTGCTCTAAATTGGGATATTCAAACTTTGAAGAGATTCAAAGGCTGTCTAGTGGAGAACCCTCATTTAATTGAGGGAACTAAAGTCAAAGCTCAATGACGTGAAAGGACTGGTTCTGCAAACAACCAGAGAACAGCCTCCACACCTTACCTCCATCTGCTGTTACCTCTGTAGCAGCCTGCTCGGACAGATGCACACACGTACCCCGGCCTGCTCAAGAACACCCTAACTCCTTCCAGAAACTTGGTTCTCTTCTAAGGAAACAGGCTCCTTACAGAGTAAGGGAGGGAAACGACCTATCGTCATCATGATACTCTACTTTTGCCCAGAGAAAAGGTCCTGGCTAAGGTCCTTTAACTTACCCCTGTTAACTTTGTACTGTCTTCGGAAGTCAGTATTAAAATAAGGGAAATAACGTTGGGTTCTGGGGTTCAGCATCGATTAGAATTTTCAGTGATGTAATTTCAGATCCTAGCTTACTATTAATTAGTTAAGTCCAGCCTATTTCCTTGTGATTATTAACTTTCCTAAAAGTTGAAAAACACATTTCTGGAAGTGGATAGAGATGATGGTTATATGTAACATTTCGACAGTACTTAGTGCCACTGAATTTTATACTTTAAAATGGTAAATTTTATGTTTGTGAAAACAAATATAATTCAATTTGTAATACGAAAAATGCACAATAAACTATTTCTGCACAGAATGACTGGAGGAGAATCTTCATCTGAAAATACTCAGCCTGAGCCAGGGACTTAGCTCAGTGGTGCCCCTGCCTGCCTCGCAAGGTCCTGAGTTTAATCCCTGGTACCAAAAAATAAAAGTATTCAGCCTTTCCCTGTAACGTATGTGCCTCTCAGCTTTCGGCCTGTTACCATTCGTATGTGTTCTCTTAGCCACTTCCCCTGCTCCATCTTCACACAGTTTTCTTTTGGTACCAGGAACTGAACTCTGGTTCTTGAACTTGTGAAGCATGTGGCGGTGTCTGAGCTAAATCCCCAGCCCTTCACGCACAGATTTTTAACCTTTCTACATTTGGAATCTTGGTTACTGCTCTTTAAAGGCTTGGCATAAAATGTTTGATTCAATTTTTCCTTCTATCCTAGTCCATTCTTTTAATATTTGTACACCTAATTTCAGGTTGTTAATATATTTTGGGAGTATAAGATAGATACAGACTTCCATAAACTGCAACTTCTTATAGGTTAGTGGGGGACAGAGACAGTATACAGATGAGATCTGTTACAAATGTGACTAGAGGAGAGATCTCAAAGGGGAAAAGAGACCATGGCATAGGACAGCTGCTATATGTTGTTGGGGCACTAGATTGGGGCAATGGCTGAATTAAACTTTCAGTTATTTCGTGCAAGAAGTTAACTTTCAGTTAATTCATTCTTGTTGCTAACTCCTTTGGGATCCAGTTTGTTCCTGGAACCTCCTGTGGGCCACAGCTGGAATGCCTTCTAAGAACCACGTCCTAGATTAGCATTCTGATAGCTGCTCTGCAAATGTTAAATGTTAAGCTGTGAGGGACTCCCTTCCCATATTTAAGGAACAAGAAGCATGTCTAATGCAACACTTCTTTCTGCCCTCTTAATATTTTCATGAGTTATAAATCTGGCAAATCTTAGGTTTCCCAAATTACTTGACCAGGAATTTTTTTTTTCACCTATGGGATATCAAAAATTACCTGGGTAGGGCTGGGCACAGGGGTGCAAGCCTGTGATCCCAGCAGTCTGAGGCTTGGAAGACTGCCAAGTGTGAGCCTGCACCACTCAGTGAGACCCTCCTTCAAACAGCTGAGAATGTAGCTCTATAAAGGTGGTGGGTTTGATGCCCACTGCTCAAAGTACCTTAGAAGAGGTTATTCAGAACATCAATCTAAGTCATCTGGGATATAGCTGAGTTTAAAAGAAATATGATTTAATTGGAAAGGTAAACATATTTCAACTTTTACTCCCATTTTCTCAGTTCAAAATCTCACAAGTGTGTGAAAATAGAAGGTAGTCTAGCCAGGTGTGGTGGTGCACACCTGTGATTCTAGCACTCAGGCAGAGGTAGGAGGATCGCTGTGAGTTCAAGACCAACCTGGGCTACAAAGTGAGTGCCAGGTCAGTCTCAACTATATAGTGAGACCCTGTCTCAAAAACAAGAAGGTAGTCAAATATGTCACATGATCTTACTGCTCTGCACAGAAGGTACCCCTGGGCAAGTTCTGCAGAGAAAACTGCCTAACTTCTTCCTTTTCGACACACTTGTCTGGATGCTAACTGCTGTACCTGGGCCAAATGTACTGCATGAGAAGTTTTAGGGTTTCCAGTATCTTCAACCTGGCCTCCTCCTCTGGCCCATCATACACCTCCAGGTAACCAAGGATGACTCTCTCTAGCCTCTTCAAGTGCCGGACAGTTAGGATCCCCAACCTAAAGACAAAAGAAAAAAAGTGACACCAAAGAGTGAAAGTTGGGGCGAATGGCAGGCCAGCAGCCCAAGCACTCACCTTCTCACAAAGGCTGGCAGGCTCCTAGCGTAGGTCCTGCGCAAGAGCAGGCGGTGCTCTGGCTCCATGTGGGTCAGGAGCAGCTGCAGCACCTCATCACAGTGTGTGGTGGGTCGGGCTGCATCTCCCTTCCACTGCTGGGCTTTCTCCAAGACAGGGAATAAATCCAGCAGACACAAGAGCACAGCCTAGAAGGAAGGAATGGAAAGATGTATACAGTTCATCCATTTGGACTGACAACACTCCTGATTTCTTAATTTTAGTTTTGGTACTGGGGATTGAACTCGGGACCTTATGCCTGCAAGGCAGGCGCAGTGCCACTGAGCTAAATCCCCGGCCCCACACTCTCAGTTTTTTTTTTTTTAAACTTCATTAACCCTCTGTCCTTAAAGTACATGTTACAGAATTCTAAGATACCAGTAATTAATAACCCTTCCACGCCTAGTGATCCACTTTTGGAATACCCATAACAGCAGAACATGATGAAATGTTTTCAAAATTTTGTTCCCTGAATTTTTCTAAGTAATATATATGCATTTTATGCAAACATTCAAAAACTTTAATCTTCAACATAAGGCTAAGTGCATATTACTTTAAATTTTCAAACTGTTCACATTCTTTGTCTCCCTCTGACAGTCTCAAGTTATTATTTTGTCCTCAGGATAATTCTTTGCTTATTTGTAAACTAGGAAGAATGACACAATGGCAACTTTAGCTCAGATTTTAGGATTTTATGCCTACTGTCACTAAGTCACAAATCTAAGTTACTTGATGCACAGAATTTACATATACTTTTAATAAAAACACTCCTACATAAAATCCAAGATGGTCCAAATTTGTATCAAATTTGACTATATCTGAAGTTTTCAGTGTCAATACCTATACACACAAAAGATGTCACTACTTCTGTTTTTTTGAAGCAAAACATTATTGGTCCATTTTAGATACTATTAACACTCATCATAGGGAATTTTCCTACCTCTAGTTTTAGGTAACTTGCTTTTTCTGTCTCCCAAATATTCCCCTCCCCAGAAATTCCCATTCACCCTTCCTAAGCAAACATTCTCCATAAGGCTTCCTTCCAAAGGCTCCTCAAACCACCCCCAACACCATCTTAAACATGGTTAGTTGCCTAACTGAACCCTTCACACAAATCTAACACAGTCATCACTATGTGGTATTTCGATATGGATATATGTATACGGAATATCCATGTCTACCAATGTCCTTCCAAAGGGTCTCTTAAAGCCAAAACCTCTGTCCAATTCACTTACTCTTGGAACCTATAGTTACTGGCACACATTAGTTAATGTCTGCTGAATAAAAAGAATAAACATTAAAATATCTACATGCAAGATTTCTGAACACATGTTGATATAAGGCAGCACAGAAAAAGATCTAAATTAGTCAAAGAGTATTTTCACATGTACAGCTACCTCCAAATAATATACAATTGATCCATATGAAGACAAAACTCTGGCTTTTCTGTGAAGCTTTAAGAATGCGAATGCCTGCTTGGTCTTGGAGATATTTTAAACTTGGCAACACTTTTTAGTTATCATTCTCAATTTCCAAGAAAAGATAATGTCTCACAACTATTCTCATTATAGAATACCATTTTCTAATCAAATTGTTAGAGAACCCAAATAGTTATGTATAAATCTTACAGTTACCTCAATGAGGTGGTACTCTGGCATGTACAGATGGTTGAAAATGGCGTGATAGAGGACTTGGGCTCTGTTATACTGCAGCAAATCAGCAGCCGGCTGCAATCAGACAAATTATCCACTTAAAGCTTTCCCCAAATTGACAAAATGTTGATAATTTTAAAATTGCATTATAGATAATACGGAGATTTCTGTGTACACACACACACACACACACACACACACACACACACATACACTTTTTTTTTTTTTTTTTTTTT